TATCCAAAACAGATCCAGATAACCACCTATAGCTCGCGGTGGCAAAATCACCCGACTTCTACCGATCTAAGCCATGCAAGCATTAACTTTCATTTTGCGGATACCGGGGTAACAAGGATATAGTATAACAAAGGTAGACAAGGTATAATGCAGCAACGGTTGCAAACAACTCCTGAATGTAATGCATCAATTAAAGTAAAGCATTTAATTAATAATTGCAAACCGGGGAGAAAATGCTCCGGGGCTTGCCTCTCTCGAAGGAGCTCGGGCGGTGATCGGGGCACTCCGGAAGTTCCTCAACGTCCTCCAATATCAATGATTAGATAAAGTTCTACAAAAAAGTATCTCAAAAATAACATGCAATAATTTTCCCAAGTAGATCTGGTGATAAGGAACCTAGCAAAAATTTATTTCAACAGATTTGGAGCAAATTTGAGTATCCAAACATTTTCCAAATCATTTCTCTTTTCAAATAATAAAGAAAACTAAAAACGAAAACCTCCTATTGCTACTGGGCTGGCCCGTGGGAACCAGCTGGCCCACGGCCATACTCGGCCTACTCAGACCGAGCAAAGGGGAGTGCGGCGGCCTAGCAGGGGCTTCGGCCCACGGCCACTTGGCCCAGCTCGGCCGAAGCGAAGGGGACACGCCCCGCCGGCGCACCAGGCGACACGGCGGCGCGCATGCATGCGTCATGGGCACCTCCCGGCCACCGCAAGGCACGGGGGCATCTGTAAGATGCGCAAGGGCAAGGCGGGCACGGTGCGCACGAAAGGAGGGAGATAGGAAGGTAGAGCCGGATGTCCGCGCGGGCACGAGCTCCGGCGAGCTCGGCCACGGCGGTGCGGAGACGAAAAACCGACCACAACCGCCTCTCACCTCGACGACTACAGCCGAACGCAGGCGCAAAAGACGGAGCTTGACGAGGCGGAGCCGTGGACTAGAAGTAGGCAGTGGAGGTGTGGTGGAGCTCGCGCGAGGCGGCGGCGGAGGGGGTGCTCACTTTCAAGGCCCAGGCGCCCTGCCAGCCGAGAGAGAGGAGGGGTGAGCACGAGAGAGCGGGAGAGCGGGCGGGAGTGAGTGGAGAGGAGCGCAGCGTGGTCGGCAGGAAAAGGCGCGCTGCGGAGCGGAGTCAGTCCGCCGGGCTGCGACGCGGCGGCGGCGTCAGCCGACACTGGCACACCACGCTGGGCGGGCGTGTTCTTCATGGTCGGAACGGCGGAAGGGATGGCGGGCGGCGTAGTAGCAGGCGGCAGCCAGAGACGTCTGTGAAATTGGGCTAAGCGTGGTAGCGAGGGTTCGCTGGTCCGGCTTCGGCCGTGGGCCGAGAAACGAGGCGGCGGCCCGTGAAAGGAGAAAAACCCCTTTTTTAAAAATTATATTTTCAAGAAATTTTCAAATACTAGCTTTCAAATATCATTTTGAGCAAGAAAATGACATCTTTTGAAAATGTACCAAAAATGAAAGTTGCTTAGAATTTAATCCTCTACATCTTTTCTTTTATGACCAAAGTCCAATTCTATCTAGATTTTGAATTATAAAAGTTAAAGGCAATTTTAACTCAAAACCCTAATTTTGGAGAATTATTTTTAAAGCAGAATTTGGCAATAATTGCAATACAAACTTTACTCCAAAAATTACGCTAAATAATTCTAGATGATTTACAATCATAACTAAACAAGTTCTACTAACCTAGCAAGCATGATTAGGGCCAAAAACAACCCTAAACAAGTGAATGCAACATTTACGTTTCACAAGCATGTTCCGTATGTTTCGAAGCAGGGTTTCAATTATTATTTACATGATTAGGCATGTATGATTAAGATGCTTGATGATGCATGATATGCATGATTTGCAGTGCCTAAATGCTGGCATAACACCGGGGTGTTACAGTAGAGACATAATAAATATAATATAGTACATATATAACGACAAGTCGACAACCCAAGCAAACAAAGATCATATATCGAGCCAGTGTGCTTAGAGAGAGTATATATATCCAAAACCCAACCAAGCAATCTAATTTATTTCTCTTAAACAATATATAACTCATGTGCTACTTCTTTTTACAGATTTACTCAACATAAGTCGCCTCATATTTTGCTTACCCGTCAGTTGACGGGCCCGCGCCTGAGCCCACGTGCCTGCGCCCTGTCGGAGAGGAAGAAGACGGCGGGAGACCTTGCCGGTGTCACAGTTCTGGTATCCCCCGCTCCCGCACTCTCCCTCTCTTCTTCTCCATCTCCGGCGAACATAGACGGGGGTTTGGGGGGAGGAAGGCCGGCTAGGCGGTGGGGATGGCGACAGGGTGATTTAGGGGCCATGGCGGCAGCGGAGGCGGTCAGGCCAGGTCGGAGCAGGGGACTTGTATGGCCGGAGCTCGCTGCAAAAGAGGGGAAGGAGGGGGGGAGGGGAAGAAGGCGGCCGCGCGAGGGCGCTCTAGTGTTTCGCCGGAGCTCAGCGGCCATGGCTGATGCCGCTGAGCTCTGGCGAAAAACCCTTGTGTGGGCAGCGACGGGGCAAGGGAGCTGCTGGCGCGCTGGCTAGGGTGGCGGGGGAGGTCGGCGGTGGGTCGTGCTGGTGCAGACGCGAGGAAGAGAAACAACGCTCTCGGCAGGAGCGGGCGTGTGGACGCAAGGAGGAAGACGAGACGCTTAAGCAAATCGACTCGTGAATTTTGCTCAACGCCTCGTGAACCGACTTGTGAATTTTGCTCGTAGTCTTTGATCAGTTGGCCGAGCCTGTGGATTGGCCTTTGCCTTTCAGAGAAACCGAGCACAGAGCTTCCTATTTTAGCTTATTTTCCTGACTATATCATTACTAATATTGTGGCATGATTCTGATGATTTTGGCCAAATCTCTAGCTAGTATATTGATAGAAATCAACAACCCAAAAGCCATCTCTCGGTGCCTGTTTAGTTTCCAAAATTTTGCAAAATTTTTGAAGATTCTCCGTCACATCGAATCTTTGGACGCATGCATGAAGCATTAAATATAAATAAAAAATAAAACTAATTACACAGTTTAGACGAAATTCACGAGACGAATCTTTTAAGCCTAATTAGACTATGATTAGACACTAATTATCAAATAACAACGAAAGTGCTACAGTACAATTTTTCAAAAAAATTCGCCAGGCCAGGCCCGGGTATTCCTTAATTCGCTAACACAAGTTGGTGACTCTTGTACTATCGTCGATCGTCACCGGCCTACGAAAATGAACCAATTAATTCATCTTCAATTTGACTGGACCGTAACAAATGGAATTAGGCCGCGTTTAGTTCAGCGCAGAATCAGCGCCGCCGGAATTCTCCGGCACTGTTCCGGTACTGTAGCATTTTGTTTGTATTTGATAATAATTGTCTAATCGTTGACTAATTAGGCTCAAAACGTTCGTCTCGCAAAGTACAATCAAAACTGTATAATTGGTTTTTGATTTCATCAACATTTAATACTCCATGCATATAGCGCAAGTTAGATGTGACGGACAATCTTCTTTTTATATAGTGCCAAAATTTGGATTATGGGGTAACTAAACATGACCTTAGTAGTAGAGGATCGAAACAATCAAATTAATTGTTGCAAGGACGACGGGACGTCTTAGATATCCATCACATCCACGTTACCACGTAGTACGGAGTAGAACAACAGCTGGAGCACCCACATTATTATTGTTGGGAGACTAGTAGTATTACGGCGCTGCATAAACGAGGCTAGCTAAAGCTGAACCCCATACTACCATACAACCGATCGTTCACACGAGCCAGCTCATCTGGTCGGGCAACCAATCGTTCACACAATCCAAGGTCCTCTTTCGAATACGAGATATATATTCTTCTTCTTCTGATGTCTGTGTTTTTTCTTTTGAAAATGGATTGATCTCTCTAAATCTCTGGACGATTTTTATGAAATTTATCCGTTTTTAAAAAAGCTATGTATACAGGACGGCGCGGAGCATTGCGGTGCATATATAAATGTGCAAATATATGAGTGGTCAAGTCCTGTCCCAATCATGGATTAGCTGCATTTTGCAATTGCATGTACCATACGGCACTGCCCGAGCAAATTATCAATGCAGCATGGCTCCTTGCTCATCTCACCTAGCGCTAACGGCCGTCGTCCTTGCTAGGGACGATGGATGTACAGCACAGGATGGATGTCTGTATGAGCGTGTGATGATCAACTTAATTGAGCTGAATTAATGTACACACCAGCATTTAGTCGACAATTGACATCATAGCATGCATCCATGATGTCCATCTGTTTCTGTCTAACCGATCAATCCAACCATTTCCTTTAGTACGTACATTTCATTTCGTTTGATTCATTTGCGCTCCTAGTATTTTCTTTGGTTTTTGAGAACATCTAGGACTCATCTCGAATTCTAGAATTAGGCCGAATCGCCGAAATCATATTGTTTCAGCAGCCTGAACTACAAATGACGGTTCCAGTCAATTCCATCCAGAGAAAGAAATACTGGCATGACAGATTTTAAATCTCTCTTCTCTATGATATTATTATGTTAAAAAAAATAGTACAAGAAACATCATATCTGGACTGAGGTCTAGATCAGGGCTCAAGGCCGGGCCTGGCTGGATCTCCCGTCGTCATTTAATGGGCCAAGGCCAAGTTTCCTCGCATCAGTATTTGGGCCGGCCCAATGACCGAAAGTCGGTTGGGCCCCAAGTCAGGCAACCTCGTCAGGCAACATCTCATCTGCTTGGGCTCTCCCGCACTTCTTCGCTTCGCACTTTTCCATCCAACAAAAATCTCATCAATCAGATCAAAAAATCAGATCCAGGGAGGGGAAAGGCACAAACCCCTAACCCTCTCACTCCCGCCGGCCGCCGCGACGAGTCCTCCTCAGGGACCCTTCCTCCAGCCCGCCGCCGCCCGCCCAGTGGTATACCTCTCTGAGTCTCTGCGTTCGATTTCCACGAGATTAGATTACTTGTCCTGCTGATTCCGATCCGCCTTCCGCCGCCTCCACAGCTCCCCCCATGTCCAACCTCGGCGGCGGCGGCGCCGAGGCGCACGCGCGCTTCAAGCAGTACGACTACCGCGCCAACTCCAGCCTCGTGCTCACCACCGACTCCCGCCCGCGCGACACCCACGAGCCCACCGGCGAGCCCGAGACGCTCTGGGGCAAGATCGACCCGAGGTCCTTCGGCGACCGCGCCGTCCAGAACAAGCCGCCCGAGCTCGAGGAGAAGCTCTCCAAGTCGCGAACAAAAAAGTCCAAGCGCCGGGACGACGCCGCGGTCGACCCTGCCGCCGCCGCCTCCCCCGCCGCGACAAGTCAGCTTATCAGTTCCCAAGAACCATAAACAAATCCACAAAATTAATCTATGAGAGATGGCTGGGGTGACGCCCACGAGGAAGTTGTCGAGGTGCACGCGCTAGGGTTGGGTGTAACAAGTAAACGGAATGAACTACTATCCTTTTGCCTCAATATACATACAACCTGAACAAAAGGATGAAACATACATGCCACTTTCTTACCGTAGCAGGGACTCGCTGATTAGCACCAACGCGAGGAAAGCACACAAGATTCCCATAGCAGGAACTAGCTGATTACCAGCAGCAGCACAGTGCTCGTGACGTAATCGCCTCTCGAGCCAACTTGTAAGTTACAACAGTCGAAGTATGACAAACAGCACAACGACAGCACCAAAGGTCTGCTAGATGAGCATACCAAGGTCCATGAGAGCCTTGAACCAACTTGTAAGTTACAAGAGTCGAAGTCACATAAATAGCCCAACAATAACACAAGTCTAACTTGCATATATCCTAGACAGGTCTGTCAAATACTAGTAAGATAAACGGCATGGCAACAGCACCAAAGGTTTGTTAGATACTAGCTAGATGAGCAGAACAAGGTCCATTAGATACTCCAGCAGTGGCACAGTGTGATGTCTAATTAAGATGCCGCCCAATATGATTGCCTAGATCATGAATACCCGCATCAAGTGCGCCATGATACCAATATGGCTCGGGCACCGGCCACCTGTCATCCAATATGTTTTTGTCCCAATGTAAGTTGGCTGTTGAATAAAATAGTCTAAGCAAACAGAAACAAGTGGCAATGCGAAAACAGAAAGAAATATACCTGTTTTTCTGTATCCCCTTCTTTGTCCCACCACCAACATTGACAGGCATAGGATGGTTATATCCACTGTCATCAAACATAATTTATTTTTCAGAGTTCGTAAAATAAGTGAAATGGCTACCAGTTAGCATTGAGATGAAAATAATACCATTCTGATGGTAAAGAATTCACTCCACTTAGAACTTCAACAATCTTGTGCCTTGGTAAGAAAGGAGTTACACCGCTTCCTTCCCAGAAGTTCATGCCAACAAAACTCCCATCAAGATTAATAAGCGGGCCTCCAATCCCAGCCTAGTTTTTTTTAAAAAGGTCCAAGGTTACTGTAAAACTTGTAATTCCTGATAAGTTCAGTAGATGCAATATGATTAAACTGGTTACCATATAAAAGAACAGTAAGAGAGATTCACCACAGTACCTTCTTGATTTTACAAGTAGACAGCTGAACATCTTTGCAATCAAGTTTGCAACCCTTGTTTCCACGCTTCACTTCACCACTTGCGGCCATCAATAAACCAAATTTAGCATCACGCCCTATAGCTACAACCTTTTTAGATGTGTTTTGTGCACTTTTAATGAAGATGTCGTCCGGACAAATAGCATTGAAATTCTTCTTGAGACTGACAATAGCAATGTTATAGTCTAAATTATAAAATTCCAATGTCCCACCAGCACGTTGATTCGGTGGGAGAAACACCTCAATCTGCAATGAGAAAGTGAGCTCAGCAAACCATCATTAAACTTAAAAGACCAAAAAGTAATGATAAGGACTAAGGAGCACCAACCGTCAAGCTATTATCAATGCAATCCTCATTACAACGACCTCTAACCAAACTGGCTGAAGTCAGGATGACAGTGTGCTTAGCTTTGCTTCCATGCCACTTTATAAGCAAGCCTGTGCATGCAAAAGATCTCACATACCCTACACATTATAAGTTTAGTCATTAGTTAGTGAAGATAAAATACTAGCACAGAAAAGTAAGGAGCACACAGCTGGAAAAATCACCATTGAATGAAGCAAGTGAGACAACACGACGGGATACATCTGTCACAACTTCTTTTGGAAGTTGATTCCAGACACCCTCCTCAGAGCCACCGGGTGTATGACGATAGGGATACCCTTTCCAAGGAAGTAATTCACCAAAGCATTCTTCGAAATGATTAAGCAATTGCCCATTGACTAGTTAAAGAACGAAGATCAGAAGTGAACTACAAAAAGGCCAAGGGAGATGACAGCAATATCAAAAGCAACACTTACATTCAAGCACAAGTGGTGGTGGAATGGGATAGCCATGGGACTTTAACCTGCAAATAGTTTGCATAAACCCTGATACAATATTCAGATCATTATTAGTCCTTAGATGATATGTATGATACTGGTAACATAGTATTCTGCGCACAATGATACATAGGCAACATTTTAGAAGATGGCTTGCAGTATTGTTCACACCTGAAGGAACTACACTTAATACATCTTTAGGCAACGTATATCCACGGAAGTCTAGTTTTTTAGGACTGCAATAAAACATAGTTGACTTGTTATGGCAAAATAAAAAACAGGAACTACACAGGGGAAAAAAACCCAATCATACCAACACGTGAATCTAATCTTGTCTTGTGAAAGAAATAAAGGTATGAAATAATGACTACGAATAAGGTGTAAATATTCAACAAAAGATGAGAGGATTGAACATATTCATGTCACAAATATAGGTTGCATTGTCCATATTGCCACAAAGAATTGTTTAATTCTTCCTAATTTAAACCAAAACATTAAGCATGGGCACTAAGTTAGCATCATAAGATCTGGCAATTGTACTGGTTTCAGTAGAGAGGGGCAAGAAGAACCAAATTATTTTCAATCCAAAGGTTACCATGTGAAAACTCCTAAGTCTCCAATGCTGTTAGTAAAAATGGCTTACCTTAAACAGGAAGTGGATTAGGAGAGAGGGTTTGGAACAAAAATGAATCAGGTTAACTGAAGAAATAGTTCCTAAATAGTGCAAGTGTAGAAGACATACTTGAGTATCTGAAAATGCTTCAAGCGTTTGCAAAGTAAGTCCATTGGTAGGAAGGTGTATCTCAAAATTGCATCACCAGGGTCATAAATATCTAAGTTTATCCCGAGAATTTTATTATCGCACCCCAGAAGTGGCCCTCCAAGTACAGCCTACAACAAAAGCAAAGTTAGGTTTAGAAAGGATTTACTTCAATGCACACCAGGTGTTGAGGTGTTCGAGGGGGCGTTATGTGTTCCATGTTTTCCATCACGCCGCAAAGTTACAAATAAATAAATCGACAGTATACCTTAGAGATATCTTGACTATCAGAAACCCAGGTGTTGAGGTGTTCGAGGGGGCGTTTCTGATACAGAGATCCACGCATGGCCATCAAACTGCCAGAGTTGAAGGCACGCCCAGCAGCTTTCAAACTATCACCAGGGAAAGGTTTTGCCTTATGATCCAGATCTATAGGACGGACTCCTAGGAAGCCCAAGCATGTGACGATAGCAATGTCTTTATCATATAGTCCTAAGAACCCATCGGTAGCTGTATTATTAGGAAGGCGCACTGCAACCTACAGAAATAAAAGCAGTACACAAGCACAAGCTCAGGATGTTCACAATTAGCTTGAATATACAAAAGAAAAATCAAGGAACACAATGATTAGCAGCACTAACCCTCAACTTATCATCTTTATTTCTATTCTCGTTGAATTGTGTAACCAAATGTGCTGATGTCACAAATCTTGTTAGGCTTTGTCTAGTTCTTCCGTGAGGTATAGTTATGCCCGAGCATGCAAATAACATCTTATCTCCTGGACAATATCGTGATTTAAATAACAAGTCATGACTAAATGCAATTTATTTAGGAAAATTGAAAAGTATAGTAGCACAATCACCATCAAACAAAGCGATCGAGACGACCAAGGAAGACAAATCCACAGCATAATTAGTACTGATTGGACAAGTTATTTCACCAGGTTTGACTATATGACCAAATGACCTCTCCTCAAAAGCAACATTAACGTCTCTATCACGAAAAGGTTCGCCAAATCGTTGCACAGCGATAGCACATAGATTCTCCACAAAATTACGATACGCCTCATTAGCCGCTTTACCTGATTAATAAACATGATACACCACAGCTGAGTGAGTGCTTTGCTAGAGCAATATGCGCGACAAAAGAGAGAACCAGCAAATTCAAATCAACTACTCAGGTTCTCTCATCCTTTTTATGATGCGGTTCCAGGTTCTCTTGTTACCGCTTCTACGTTCTGGGACATAACTCCGACTTGAAACCAGTGATGACTCAAGTTTGTTCCTTCTGTTTATGGCTCTCTGCTCCCTACTCACACCTCTTGTGCAATCAATAGTCCCCCCCTCGTTCCTCAGGGTCTTTGTAGTCCTGAAGCAGAAAATAAATGCAAATGCTTAGTACAGTAACTAAGACCCTTTTGTAAGCTTATAACCCCCCCAACCCCAAAAAATGGAAATCAAAACAATGAAGCACCTTGTCAACCTTAAAATATTAGGTTCATTGATAACACTATCAACAATAACACTATGACGAAGCATGTGCTCAAAATCAGTACTAGATTGACCTGATTCTTTCTTTGCATATAAATGTAAAAAGGCTAAAATCTATCCAAAACTTGGTGTTGTATGGCAAATTGGCAATCAAGAAGTGACAACATAGGCAGCAAGTTCCCAGCAGCTGGCTAAGATTGACAGAAAGGGCGCAGCACAAAAAAAATCCAAACATAACAGAAAGCAATCAAACCAATATGAAGTGGGCAAGTCTAAACAAAGTTGTTTAACTGGCCACATTCATACATGGTTAGAAAGAAGAGAACTCGGAATTTTGCTGTAGGAAAAAGCTGTAACGTATGTAGGTGGATGTTAGCTAGTTATTAAGCTACAGATCGTAACAAGACCCATCCAAAATCTGTGATGTCTGAATTTCCTATGGAAAAAAACTGAACATACGCATGGATGTTAGCTTACACGTGTATGGGAGTGGTCAACACCATCTACGCGGTCTCCACATGTACACATGCTTGTTCACGTCGCCAGGGCTCCGTTTGGATGTTGGCAATAGACCTGAGCATTTTGCGGGCAGGGCCTGGTTCAGGCTGGGCCAAAAGAAAACCCGGTTGTTTTCGGCCAAAAAATGTCCTATCCATGACCGTCCCATTAGGCGAGTCGGGCCTATTTTTTTGGGCCTGGCTCGAGCCGGGCCTGGGCCTGGGCGGCCTACCCGTGCACTTTGTAATGTAAAACAGCTAAAATATATATTTCGTGCCGGGCTCGGGCCGAGTAATTTTTTTCTGGGCAGCAAGATCTCTGCCCATGCCTTGTCCAGTAAGGTTCGTGGGCGGGCTAAAACCCGTCGGGCTCGGACCGGGCCCATAGGCTGGGCCGGGCTGGATTTGCTCAGGTCTAGTTGGCAATGGAATTGGGTTATGGTTCATATTGTTATTAACCATCCCTAGCACAACACGTATCTTTTACAATACGTCTTTTTTAACGTTATTGTGTTTCCAAATCGACACGCAATTCAGATTCCATGTGTTTGGATGTCTTCAAATTGGACCTCAGAAATCATAAATTGCATCTGTAACGCGTCTTCTCCTTAGCCGACACCGTCCCCTTCGCCCAGGCTCCACCCCCACCATGCACCAGCCAAACCCGCCCTTCCGCGTCAGCGACCTCCTGAAAGCTCTAGTTTGGTTTTGGTGAATTGATGAAACCCTAAGTGCTAACCTAGTTTATCAAAATGATTATGAGATAGGTAGTACTACACCAAGTGGTGAAGCAAATGAAGATCATAACATGATGATAGTGATGCCATGGTGATGATTAAGTGCTTGGACTTGAAAAAGAAGAAAGAGAAAAACAAAAAGCTCAAGGCAAAGGTGAAATTGATAGGAGCTTTTCGGTTTAGTGATTGAAACACTTAGCGAGTGCGATCACATTTAGCAGTTCTTGTTTCATGAGCATACGCTGATAGCTACTGGCCTGCATTTAGCATTTAATGATTATCTTTGAGAAAATGGACTGGTTTTGGTATATTAATATAATCTTTTGTTTCATGTACATATGCAGACGAAGTTGAAATTGCAAAGAAAACTTAGAAAAAAACAGGCTGAACCTTAACTCAAAGTTTATTGGATCACTGCCGAAATCCTATACATTTCTGGTGGTTTCCCTGTTTGCTGCCTACAGGCTGGACCTTAGCCACTCATTTATTCCTATGATATATTCAGTACTATGCTTTCAGCATATAACATTTAGTGCTAATGGTCAACAATTATTGGTTGCTTTAACTTGTATACTCAATAGAAATTAGTCATTATTTGAGAAAAACTAGAAGATGTGTGATGACTGATTATTAGTAATAACATGCTGTTTGAGTTATACTTGTCAACACAGCAGCAAGAGTCTTGCCTGCTTGACTAGAGAATGAAACAACTTAATTTGCTACCTAAAAATGGTCCTATTTTTCTTATCAGTAAACTTATAAAGTTCTTATGTAGTAAACTTTCTTGTCAGTTTAGTACTTACAATAAGTCCTCATGCTTGTCATATCTCTTTGATCATTGAGCAGAATGACTAATAAGTTGTCAGGAAAGTTTCTTTGGGGGCATCATTAAAATCAAGCCTATGAAGTAAAGAAGATAGACTATGAATCATATCCCCTTTCCTGTTGCAGCTTTATGATTACAGTACAAGCTTTTTTATGAAACATATCCTTACTGCATTGAACCTGGACTTGCTTATTTCTCTGAACTCCGAGTTATCTAAGTTAAGTGCTTATGTGCATTAGCTGCTATTAACTATTCTCTAACTGAACCTATATATGATAAGTAATAGATGATTGGGTTTGTTGCTCTATAATACTTAGCCATTTTAAATTTGGACAATGAAATTGTTTTCCACCAGTTCATAAGTAATAGATGATTCAGTTTGTTGTTCTATAATATTTGGTTGAGTAACAGCTATGTCCACATCTAATAGGATTAACATTTTCCTTTATCTGAAGCAGGAATAGGTGGAAGCATAGATTCTTGCTCAACAGGCCTCACTTGAAGCAAACCAAGCAGCAAATGTTTGTATGTTTGAACTTGTGTGATGAAACCTGGAACTAGTGTGATGTTTGAGCCTATAAGCAATTGTGTCTTCTATCTTTTGCTTTGGAATGTATGTGGATGATGGCTTGGTTGATATGTATGAGCTATGATGAGATTGCTGGAAACATCTATGTGACATTCGTCATTTAATTAATACATATTGCTAGACATACTTGCTAAATAATAATCCTATGTTGTTGACTTCTACTTGTATTCAGTTACCTGACAACAAATAAATAACTCATGATTGCAAATCACTTTGGCATCAGTTTCTGTCAATGCAGCATATGTTTTTATTTTTTAAAATACATCTTGTGTGATATTTCCTCCTCAAATTAATGCAATAAGTATCAACTAATGATGGGTCATTGTTGTTTCAGTCAAATATGGAAGCTTTGAGGACAAACACTTCTTGAAGGGTGAGACAACAGATATCCGATTAATGCGAGATGTGTCCTGTGTGCTCTCCCGAACAGCTCAAACCTTTTCCTGAAGAGTGTTGGCATCAAACCAATGCCATCCTCCAAATCATCATCATCAAATGAAAGCGAGCTTTGGGAGCAACTAGCAGCTGAAGCTACGGTACATCATAAGGTGAAATCGATGAACTCGGGAAGAGAAGTGAAGAAGTTTGAGGAAAAGTGGCGAGGACACAAAAAGGAGATGGAGGAGTACAAGAAGTCGGCGAAATAAACAACAAGGCAATGGAGGAGAACAATGCGCTTGCTCAAAGCGTATCTTGGCCATCAACAATGCTTCTTCGACATGAGCGCCGCCTTGTAGTCTGCTATTAAGCAAGGGGTCTCTTTGGTGATTTTGTTTATGTAGTAACTTATGTTGCCGGTGGTGGTTGGCAACTTTTATTATTTCTGTGATGTTAATGTGAACCGAGATGAAACTAGTAGTTCAAATGTGATGTCTAGTGAGTTATGTGAACCGAGTTTAGAATTGTTGATTAAGTTGTTGGTCATTGGAATCTTGGATCTATTAATTTATGGAAGCTTTTGGTCATTCCAGTATTATTTGCATTCAGTAATGAAATCGGCATGTGCACTTGTGATGAATTATCCGACCTTTCTCGTGATGATTTGGTAATTGATTCTGTGATTTAATTTCTATTTACTTCATGACGAAAATGAGAACCTATCACAAAGAAGCCTTGTGGCCCAATAAAAAGTGGACACGTGGACCATCCACATCATCGGCCATGTCACCGCCACGTGGTCGGACACGTCATCTCGTAATGTGGACGCCGCCACGTGGACAAGACACGCCACCGCCAAATATGGCGGAACATCGTCTGCCGCCTAACAGACGGCAAGTCATGACGAAAAAATGGCTATATCAATGACGAAAATATATCATCGTAGAAAGAATACACTTCTATGGCGACGACCATTTCGTCATAGAACAAATGCACATCTATGACGAAAATAGACGTTTCGTCACGGTAGGTAAAATATGACGCGCATTCAATGACGAATACCATATCATCACAAATTCGTCATAAAATAATATATGTGACGATTTTGGAGTCTTCAGTGACGAAAGAAGAGCATCATTGATGTACACATCCCTAGTAGTGTTTAGGATCGATAGCCGTACTATTGAGAGGGGTGAAACTCATATTGAAATGCGATTATTAAAGTGTTACTAGATGCTCTAACTCATTGCATATGTATTTAGGATATAGTGGAAAGCTAACACCCTTGAAAATATTTGTGAGAATATGCTAACACATGTGCATAAGGTGATACACTTGGTGGTTGGCATATTTGAGCAAGGGTGGAGAAGTTGGAGATGATTGTCACAGAGAAACAGTGACCGGACACCGGTCACGTGGTGACCGGACTCGGGGAAGCAGCGTCCAGTCAGTAGTGGATCAGTGGCGCGGTCTCGATCTTGTTGACCAGACTCTTGAGGCGCTGTTGACCAGACACGACAAAGGTGAGTCCAGTCAAATGATGACGTACGCTGATGAAATCATCTGAACAGGACAGTAAGGACCGGACTCTGGTCCGCGTCTGGTCGGGAGTGACCAGACGCGTCTGGTCGCAAATTTCCGCATCTGGAACCTTACTGGAAGTGACCGGACACCAGGTGAGGGTGCGTCCGGTCCTACACTGCAGCGCATCCCATCACAACTTAAGTGCACCGATGACCATTGAGATTGGGCAATCAGCGTTTGAAGCCGATGACACATGGTGAGCATCGAGCGACCGAACGCTGGGGTTCTGCGTCCGGTCAACCTGACCGGCGCGTCTGGTCTCCCCAAGTTGGGCTGCTCTGTGAGCCAAACGGCTCTATTTCATTGAGGGCTCTATTTAAAGGCATGTGACCGGCTCTAGCTCACTCTCTTAGCCATTTGCATTAACATAGCAACCTTTTGAGCTTAGCCAAAGCCCTCCCACTCATCTCCATCATTGATTCATTATCTTTGTGAGATTGGGAGAGAATCCAAGTGCAATGCTTGAGTGATTGCATCTAGAGGCACTTGGTGTTCATGTTTCGCTACGGGATTCGCTTGTTACTCTTGGTGGTTGCCGCCACCTAGATGGCTTGGACCAGTGAGGATCGTCGAGCGGAGGTTGGTGATTGTCTCCAGCTCCGATCGTGGTGATTGTGAGGGGTTCTTGACCTTTCCCTGGCGGAGAGCCAAAAGGTACTCTAGTAAATTGCTCATGGCTTGTGTGATCCTCATCTTGTGTTGGTTGTGTGGCACCCTATTGAGGGTTTAGCGTGTGATGCCAATTAGCGCGTGAACCTCCAAGTGAGTGAATCATCACAACGAGGACTAGCTTGCCGGTAAGCAAGTGAACCTCAATAAAAATCATTGTGTCATCATTTGATTCCGAGATGATTGGTTTTCATTGGTATTCATTCTTGTGATTGATTGTTTC